GGCTATCCAACAAATAAAACTGTGTTTCTGCAGATTATATGGGCTCCAAATGATCTTGGGTACCCTTCATTTAGCCTGTTTTCCCATCATCCGTTGATAATCACCCTTAGCAGAATAAGGTATTCCTTGTTGACCCATCCAAAAACCATTTAATTGCCATTTTCAAGCGTAGTTTCCACTGCCGGCAGTTTTTTCTAGTGCCAGCTACAGTTCAATAGTGGTTGCTAATCCCATAGTACTTTCCCTTTCAGATAATAATTGTGGATGTATCTTATCCATAAGCTTTCCTTATTCTTTGCTGTATCGCAGGGTTGTTTCCCTATCAAGGCTTGATTCCATATCCCTGGATCCTTAATGTATAGCTACCAGCGGCTTATCTTTACATAACTCTTCCCAGGCAACCAGAAACCAACTTGATCCACTATCTTTCGTATCCTACAAGAAAATTCTGTAACACCTTAATTTCTATCCGAGTTATTATTGCTTTAGGGAATAAGAAAATCCCAGCCCGATGTGAATGAAGGTTCAGCAGTACAAAGTTAATCGACACCAATCTACCTGCATAAGATAGATGCCTAGTGGACCAGCAACTAATTCTAGCAGTTATCTTATCTACAAAGAATTGACATTTACTTTGGGTCTATGCAGTTGGAGATATTGGCACTCCTAAGTATTTGATAGGAAATTCACGTATTTGGAAATCCATGACTTGCTGAATCTGATTTTGTATCCCCTTTTTTACCACACCAAAATAAATATTTGAATTCTGTGTGTTAACAGTCAGTCCTGTTGTACCCTCAAACTTCATTAGTACTTGTGTAATTTTTTTGATAGTTCCCATATCAGCCTGGCTAACTATTATAAGATCATACGCAAAGTTCAAACTAGTAATGATGAGTTTTTCACAGTAAACATGATATTTAAATCCCCCCTTCCCTATTCCAGCTTAAAAAACCTAGTTTAATGTTCCATCACCATCTCAAAAAGCAAAGGAGATACATGATCCCCTTGCCTTAACCCCTGTTTCCCCAGAAAAAACCCAACACTCTGGCCATTCAGTTTCAGTGAGTAGCTAGGTGTACAAATAAAAGTCATTATCTATCCTACAAACTTAGGTAGGAAGCCAGACAACTGTAGGATTTCCATTTATAGGATTGAATCGTTGGTTTTTTTCAAATCCACTTTTAATAAGCAGCTAGGCTTTATACTCTTCCTTTTATATAATCTCACCAATTCTTGTTTTAAAAGAACATTATGAAGGATGGATCTATCTTTTATAAGGCGCTCCATGGTTTAAATCCTCTATATCAGGCAAGGCTTGGCTTAATTTACTACTGAGCAATTTGGAGATGACCTTATACACACAGGCAATAGATCGATACCCCATGGCATCTCTAGGGTTTGAGTTTTTCCGAACTAAGGAGATCATGTAGAGTTAATTTGTTTCAGCAGTTTTCCTGTCTGGAAAAATTTCCATCACAGCATCACACAGATCACCTATAAAATGCACTTCTATAAAAGCCACTACTATACCCGTCGCACCCGACACTTTTGTTTAAATCTGTACTAAATAATGCTTCTCTAATTTCAGCTTTGGTGAATCCTTTAAATCGGAGAATGTGCTAGTATACAGATAGTTTGATCCTTGTGTTAATACATTCACCATTTACTGAAACTCTAGATTTCCCCGTACCTAGTAAAGTTTGAAAATAGTTTAGGAAGTGCTTTTGTACCTGTTCACAATCCTCAATTAAGTTTCTCTGCTGGTCTGTGAATGAAAGAATCTTATTCTGAATCCTCATCTATATTAGGCATGCATGGAAATATTTTAATTTGGTATACCCTTCCTGGACCCATCTCTCCTTCAACCGTTGGTACCAAAAGCTGATAACTGCTTTGTTTGCTACAATCTACTCCACTTTCATCTCTTTTTCATGCTACTACAAGTTCTGGTCCTGTGGATTTTCCTGCAATCCCTTTTGAATTCCCTCCAATTCCAAACCAAGTTTTTGAGCTTTGATCTCTACATCACTGAAGTTTGTCTATTGAGCTCCCTAAGTTTCATCTTCAGATTCTTCTACTTTCTTACTAATAAAAATCGTTTAGTCCCTTCTTTATTCGCCACCAAAGCTTTCTTTTAACTACACTCAAAAAATTAGGAGGATGAGCCCACTTGTTATAAAATAATATCGGAAAGGTTTGCTCACCTTACACTGTCTTTCTTCCCATTTAACTAACAAAGGGCTATGATATAAAATTCTTTCTTGCATTACTGTTGTAAAAGCTTATGTATAAACTCTTATCCATTCCTCATTTACCAGAGCTCTCTCCAGCTATGATAAAAGTCTTTCTTCACCAATTTGCTGATTACACCATGTATACTGGCATCCCTGTGTTTTCATTTCAATTACTTCACACTAATCCATCACCATCTTAACATAGCAGAATCTGCACTAACTCTTATTGTACCCCCAGCTTCTTCGTTTTTTCCAGTGTGTAGTTGAAATCACCTATGATTAGCCAAGGCAAGGTGGTTAACAATTCATGCCATATACTTGATTGTCCCGGTGAGCTGCATAAACAGTAGTTAGCTCAAAGACTCTATTATCTGCTATTTGTTGAACACAGTGAATCAATTTGGCAATAACTTGAATATTATTGATTATGTATTTTCCCTTTTTCCAAACTACCTAGTTCTACCCTTCTGATCTATTGTCCCATAGTTACTTATGAATCATAATTGTTCCATTTCCCCTTCATTAATTCCTCCACTTTCCCTCCATTTAGCTTGGGTATCCAATCATCCTACTATACCCACCTTAAAAAAAAGACCTATTTCTCTATGTTACAGCCCCTTTACATTCCAGTACAAGAGGTTATTCATGAACACTAAGCCCTGAATTAGGGTTACTAGTACCTTAAGTTCCTATATTTCCTGAACTTGTCTGGTTGTCATTGGGTTTGATCTCCACTTCTCTGCTGTCTTTCCTGGTTAAGATTTGTTTTCCTCTTTAGTGCCATAATTGTTACCCCGTTGCCTGGTTTTCTTGCCTACTACAATCTCCTTTTCCTTCTGTTTATCAACTTTAGTAACAGTTGGCAGAGGCTGAGTCTCCTTTGTCATGGTTTGTTGCCCTTCATTTCCTTGATCTATATATCCCCTTCCTGGACTTCTGCATTCAGCTTCTTATCTTGGTTTTGTTTTGGTTGCCAAGTTTTCACTATAATTTTCTTGCACTGTTCTACATCATGACCATAGCCTTTGCACTGCTTACACGGATGTGGCAGCCATTCATAACTAACCTTTTGTTCTTGCAAGATCCCAAATTCATCCTCACCAAACTTCACCTGGCATCTTCTCCTTGATTTCCACTTCTATCAGAATGCTAGCATTACCTGCTCTATTATGTTGAGTTGTCATTTCTGTTAGCCATTTTGTATTTACTATTTGTTATTTTTGCCAATTCCATCCAAATGGCCCGATTTATGTTAAATTTAACGGATTTCCGTTAGTTTTTAAACAAAAATACCTTGATAGATTAAAAAATTATAAAAAAAATCCCAAAAAATATAAAAATTACAAAATAATGTCTTTTTAATTTTTATTCATTTTTTCTATTTCATTTTATTTCTCTTTACTACTTTTCATAACCATCAAAATATACTATGTGATCTTTGAAAAATAATTATTTATGTTCAAGCTCTATTTTTCATGCGCAAAAAGTGTGAGATATGTCCAGGGGTAGAATTGGTGATGAGGCCAAAGTTTTGGGTAGAAACGACGTTTTTTTTCCTCCCATGGTGGATAATTCGACTAAAGGTTTTGTCACTCTAATATATCAGTTGCAAGTTTGGCAACTGAATCCAAACAGGGACCTTATTGATATCCTCAATAATTAAGGGCCGGTTATAAAAGTAGAAAACATTTTTCTTGAGAATTTCATCCTTAACAATCACTAAATGGAATCTAACAACGTAAACACCATTACCCATTAGCAAAATTTTATCAATTCCATACTTACCCCATATTCTACGCAGATACCCATTCACAACAAAGAAAGGGGGATTGGCGCCGAGGATATAACATATCGATGAGGGTCTCCAGTAGTCTACCACTTCATGCATCTCCTTTCGAATTTTTGCTGTTGTTTTATCCTGAATTATCATTGGTTCTATATATTCTAGCTTGCAATTCATACCTTGCATTTTTGTAAGGTCAAAATTCCCCCCCAACAGAATTAATCCTATGCAATTATTCCCATTCCCTCTTACAATTTCCATGATGATTCCCAATTTGAACTGCCTTTAGCTTACAAAACTGCTCTAACATCAAAGTCTGCTTATCAATTGACCGGAATCAAATTAGGGTTACTCACCAGCACTGTCAATTTACTATGACCTACAATTATTTGTTGAATTCGCTCCTCTTCAAGTTGAATCATGTCATCCGTCATCGTCTTCTCCTTTCTCCTATGTTTCTCCACCATTGTGAGTGCACTGATTGCACGCTAGAGAGTTCACAAAGTGGGCGTGAAATCAATGTGAAGAGAGAGATAGAGTAGAGAACCATTCCAATTGTATTTAATTTTAGCTCAACTTTTTATCCTAAATTTTATTTATTATATTTTTCTAATAATTGAAATAAAATATTTAGAATAATTTATTATAATTGAGAGAATACGATATATGTGAAAATATATTTTTAAGGTTTTATTTTTAATTAAAAAACATAGTTGATGAAATATATGACAAATCAAAATGCCTCATAATAAGGATGAGAGGAAGTATCTAATTTGCAACCATATTTGATATTTCTTTATATTTCATACATTATATATTATTATTATTATAAATAACAAATTAATTTTTTTTATGTAATTATGGCCGTGGAACCGGTTCAAATCAGTGAACCAGCAACCCGGTGAGAAGGGTCGATTCCCTCTCCAGTCCGGTTTTCAAAACAAAGAAAAGAACCCGAGAGATTTTGCTTTAGCAAATTCATTTGGTTCGTCTCTGTTGTTGTTACTGCGGAGGAGTAAAGGAAAACTTTGGGCGATGGCGAACGACGACGAACAAGAACAAAGGGCTTTGGAAGAGCAGCTAGAGTTTCAATTGCAGGAGCAGAAGGAATCCCTCGATGCCATCAACCAAGGCCTTGCTTCTGATCCTTCCAACTCTGAATACCTTGACGTAAGTCGCCCCATTTTCCTGTACCAATCTCGCGAATACGTGCAAATGCATTTGAAATGTCGAATTGATGGTTTTCTTCTTAGCATAGAATCCCGAAATTGATTTGTCTTCGCAACTTGGATTTTCGTTTCTCTCTAGGATAATTTATTGCCGAAGAGAAATTGATTTTTCTATTTATTGAAGCTATTTGACTACTAATTTCGATGTGTAAAGATTACTGAGAAAATGATAAAATTGTTTGTAATTTTGGCAAATTGGGTTGGAAGAAACGGATGATTTTCAATGTTTGTAAATAGTAGATACTAGTATATGTTTAAGTTTTGATAAGTGTATTAGTACTAGGTTGGAGGTAGAAAGATTACTGAAAAAATGATAAACTTGTTTGTAATTTTGGCAAATTGAGTTGGAAGAAACTGATGATTTTCAGTGTGTGTAAATTTTAGATACTAGTATATGTTTTAGTCTTGATAAGTATTGTTTTACTTTGCAGTTCATATCTTGCTTATTATATGTGCGAACCTCCTTTCTCAATACATATACATATGTTCCTTTACTGGGTTTGCTGAATGCATTTCTGTGCTTACATCAGCTTCATGGGGAGCTTGTTAAGGCTATAGCTGATGCTGAGGAAGGCCTTTTACATCTGAAACGTGAAAGATTGTTGAGAGAGGCTGATTCTGTCTTACATGCTTCAAAGTGTATTGTGGAGGATAGCAATGCGGGACCCCTAGATCCCAGTGAAGTTAAAGTAGAACCACTGGGTGATCAAAGTTATTCTATTGGGTCAAACTGCAGATTCCGGTATACTGATGGAAGGTGGTATAATGGACTCATTCTGGGTTTGGAAGGCACCCATTCTGCAAAAGTTTCTTTCCTTGCACCAACTACCGAAAGCATGTTGGTGAGTCATTTTTTTGCCTTCTATTGTTTTATTTCGTGATTGCTCCTTTCATTAGTTCATAGTTTTCATGTCATGTTTTCGTGTTATAAGGTTATTAGCTTTCAGCCTATTTCTTTTTGGGTTGAGAAACTTTTTGAATGAAGGTTGTTATTGTCATCTCAAGTTCGGGATGTCTTACGGGTTAGGAAAGCATAAGACTGAGCATAAAAGGTAACTGATGTACTCTAGGAGGTTGTTTCCGTGACTTGAACCTGTGACCTCGTTTTCATAGCAACATGCTTACCTCTGCTCCCAGGCTTCATTCAACCCTAAGATTAAATTGAATGGGGGATCTAATAATCTAAGATAATTATGTCTTTGAAATTCTTCATCTACCATTTTTTTTCACTGTCATGTGCCCAAATCAGTAGAGTTCTCGTCTCATTAGCTCTGGTCTCATCCGATTGTATGTTTGATTCTTGTACAGTGTAACATATACACATACTCTGTTGCTTGTGACCATCATTCATTAATATACGTAAAACTATGGGTCAGAACCAATTCCTAGTTGGTCTTATGGTAGAATAATTATTTCATTATGCACGATTCTTCCCTCCAACCAAGGGAAAAACTACAAAAAGGCATAAACACACTCAAACACACACCCAAAAAAAAAAAAAGGACAAAGAGAAGCTTGGCTACTGGAGCAGAAGAAGTATAGGGAACAAGCACTAGAAATCCTAATGACACTATTGGAAAAGAAGACAGGCATTCTGTAGAAATAAAAAGCATTATTACTCATCAAATTCTAGTGTGTACATTTAGTATTTACTGAGACACAATATGAAGTTCTGCTAAAGTTAAAATTAATCCATGGACAGTGCCTCGTACATAATTTCCTCCTTGATGAACTGATTGAAAGAATATTCAACTTTTATTTTGATGGAGAAGTCTAAGGGGAGCCCTAAGGAGAGACTGTCGAGGGACTTTGTGAAATTGATTGTCTTCTCATGAGGTCGAGCTTAAAGGACTCTGTCAGTGAGGCTGCTTAGGGTATTTGGACATGGAAAGAGGAAAGGGAGAGAACAATAAACATAAGAAGAAATTGGCTGGTTTCTGAGAGTTTTGTTTTAGCATAAACTTAAATGCTGAGAGATAGTTTGTAATGCCAAATTTGGGAATCAAACTGAACCTATTTCACTGGGTGTCAATTCGATCAGAACTTTCTTAGTTCAATTTACTGTTGCTTGCATTTAGAAGTGCCCTGCTTCTAACATTTGTTGGGTAAAATTATTTGCTAAGTCAGACATTAATCTCGTATTGCTGTAAATTGCTTTGTACTTGTGGTTGCTACTATCGTTCAGACATTATCTTTGATCAGGTTAATCTAGATTCAGCATTTGAAGAGAATAGGAACTTATTCTTTACTTCAGCTGTTTAATTTGTACCTTTTCTCTTTTGAAATAGTCCCTTTCCCATTTCCTCCATGATTGCAAAAATATGTGGAAGTTGGCCTTAACATTTAAAAGTTTGGATGCTGTGATGAAACTGTTGCTTCGGTTGAATTTTCATCTGAATTTGCTCTCTAATATGTTTATCTAATTACTGCTATTTGTTTATCTCCATCTGCCAGGTTTAATAATTTGTAAATGGGAAAGAAAATGAAATTGGGAACATTCTAGAAGCATTCATTCTTGAAATTTTTACTGTTGCTATTTCAGCAATATCAGAATGTTTGTTTGTATCTATATGTTTAGATGCAAAAGTGTTTAACCTTTATTCTTTATCATGTGTGTAACCCTTTCAAACACGGATTTAGGAGGCCTTTTTCCGCTTTTTAACTTTCACAGCCGCTTTGGTTTTCTTTGGGTTTTCTGTCACTTCATTTCTCATGATAGGTAACTTTGCAAACTTGACAGAGCGACATGTGGTCCTTTATGTACTAGGTCATGGTTGTACGTTACTTATAGCCAAGAACATGTCTTAATCGAATCAGCCACATGCTTAACATGCAAATCATAGTAGAAGAACAGAATATGTGGAAACATCATTTTAGAGAGATGGACTTCTGATTATTACTAAAAGGATAAAACTTGCATTGATGTTCTTTTCCTGTTTGCATTTGCTTGTTGATAAACTCTAATTTGTACTTTTGAGTTTATCAATCAAGAAAACAAATTGGTCAGCATTTAATATAGCTTGCTAATCGGTTTTTGGCTTCTATTCACTTTGTTGGTAGTTATTTTTCAAAGGATATGCTACCTTTGTTGCACCAATTTACTAATGCTAGACCACACAAGTGCAGATGTGCAAGTTCTTTCTACAACAACGGTGTCGGTTTGGTAGTAGTTGCCGCTTATCTCATGGTATGTTTCAAGAAAATCATCACAATGATACAGAAGGGTCAATGCCCAAGTGGGAAAAGAAGTTGCATTAATACTTTGCGTCAGCTGTTTTGCCTACTTTTTGCCTTGAGGAACCCGCTTTTATTTAGGACAATGCATTTGGCATTTTGAAATTGTTATCCTCTCTTTTGTTACTGTAAATCTTCTGCCTTATGGGAGGGGCCATGGTGGGCTTAGGGGAACAGTGAAGGGTTGAGGCTCTTGCATTTATCTATCACAAGATATTACCCCCTTTAAGCTGATTGTCGACAGTGACTGTGTTCAACAAATGTCCTATGCCTTGCTTTAGCTATGTCTTCTTTACTTGTTCTATAATTTTTAACATCAGTTATTTATTGTATTCTTGTATGTAGGGGTTGACGTTCCCTTATCTTCCTTGAAGAAGTATATTGCCACTGAATGGGATCAGTCATTGGTGGGATCGAGTATTTGGGCGCTACAGGACAGTAAATGTGGCATCTGGCGAAAAGCTGAACTAGAATTATGGGATGAGAACCTAAGGTTGGGGCATGTTGTCTTTCAAGATGATGGTAGCTCAGCCAAGCTTGGGACAGGAGCTCTTTCATTATCTGAATTTGCTGAAATAACTGATGAAGAAGACAATGATGTCAGTTCAGAAGGATCTGATTCTGGTGACTCTGATGAAGATAGCTCCCAAGGACTAGGATTTATGGACACCTCAAGCCTGCAGAGGGGCATCCAGACTGAAACTGCGATTTTTGCTAAGTGGGAAAATCATACCAGGGGTATAGCTTCAAAGATGATGGCTAGTATGGGTTATCGAGAGGGAATGGGGTTAGGTGCCTCTGGACAAGGAATGGTGACCCCTATTCCTGTTAAAGTACTCCCCCCTAAGCAGTCTCTTGATCATGCTGTTGAAAACGAGAAAGATGAAGAGCATAAAGATAATAGTGAAAAGAAGCGAAGTAGAGGTGGTAAGAGGAAACGTGAGAAGAAATTTGCTGCAGCTGCTAGGGTGGCTAAAGAACAAGAGGAATCTAAACCAGATGTCTTTACCCTTATCAATAACCACCTTGCAACGCATGGTGAAAGTTTCACTGGTGGATCAAAGAAGCAGCAGAACAAAAGAAAGGATGAAGGTAGGAAAGAGGACAGGAGGGGTCTTGTCGCTTATGAAGATGAGATAAAAGACTTGAGGATGCGTGTTGCAAAACTAGAGGAGATGGTTGTACGAAACAAGAAAGAAAAGGTTGTTCACGATGCTGCTATGAGGAAGCTAAATGAGACGCGCAAACTTCTGGCGGAGACTGAGGCAGCTCATGCCTCTGCGTCGAATGCCGTCATTGCCAAAGAAAAGGAAAAGAGATGGCTCAAATTTTAGGTGAACTTTTCTGGCATGATGTCTATATTTTATATTATGCATTTTCACACTCTAATTTTGGGAACAAAAGTGACGTTACAGAAGGATAGCAACAATTACTATTTTAGGTTCACAACCTGAGGGTCTCAATGTTAGTGTGGTAAGATTCGAAGTCCTAAATGTGTTAGATTGGCATACTCACAATAGTTGTAGCTGCAACAAAAGTTGTACCTTTTGTACATGATAATGCAAGTATGCATTTCCATTAATCATGAGGAACTTTTTTAGCAAATTCATAGAAATTTCACAAACAGCTATACACTTCCCTTTCATTGAACTTTTCATAGTAGTTCTTTCATTTCTTATGATAAGTATTGCTTCACAAATTGCATATAGTGTTTAGGAGAGATTCCAATACTACTAATATTAGCAAAGTTTATATTCTTGTGCTTTAATTTAACTATTCTTAATCAAGAACACCCACCAGCTCCAAATCCTAGCTTACCGCCAGCAACATCATAGACCACTTGCAGAGTTTGCTGTTGGATGTTGCCGAAAATTCCCAAGTCACTATCAGCACTGTTTCCGGCAAAAGCCAAGCAAACCTGCGATGAGCTGACGGCAACAAGTATCCCAGTGATCCCCAAATCAACCTTGGCATTTCCTTTGAAAATGACGCTGATTTTTGGTATAGCGACGGTTGTCTGCCCACTGAAGTCATAGCAAGTATCCAGGATTGAAAATGCTGGTGCTGCTTTATACTGTTTCATCTGTGCCTTAAAAGCGCCACTCAATGCCGAGTAAGCCGTTGGAGGTAACCTTGTTATAACAGTCCCAGAATCAACTACAGTTCCGGCAGACTGGAAAACTGATGCACTGATAGGTAAGAGTTTCCCTCCAACGGTAATGCCCACAATGTCGACAAAATAGAAGTTATCTGATTGAGAGCTGGAAAAGGGAGTGAATAACACATTGCTTGAGTATCCTCCCCTTCCGAAACTCAAATATCCGTTGGATCCTGATTTTGTTGGAAGGCAATATGAGAATACTTTCCCGTATTTTGCAGCTGTTTGGGACACAACTGATATGGCGTCACGGCCAAGGCCTAACAACCCGTCAGTGTTCCCAAACAGGCCTCGGTTGTTCTGCCCACAGCCAAAGAGAAAGTTAGGGAAAACATCCGTCGCTAAGGTTAGTGTCTCTTTCGCGAAAAACCCGACAGAGAATGACTGATCGCCGTATTGAATGCCGTACACACAGGTCGATCCAGAGCAACCAGGGGTGTTTCCGGTTCCTGAAACAAGCTGAGAACATTGTGTCGAAGAACACGAAATGTTGGAATAAGTTGTCGACAGTTTGGGATTATAGACTGGATCATTCTGTGAGTAGCAATACTTAACACACGGTTCGCATTGTGTCCAGGTTAAATCGCTTCCGGTATCGAAAACCAGAGTGTAGTCTTTCTTCGGGGTGCCCAGGCCGACTGTAACAATGTAGTTCCCAGTTCCGACAGAGGTCCCAGATTTAGCGGGGATTGATGTTTTCTTGTCCCTGATCCTGTTTATGTTTTTCGAAGCCGATAAACTCGCGGCATGGCGGAATTGCATCGAGGCGACCCGAGCTTGGTCCTGGGTTAGAATTTGAGCCAGTGTTAATTTGCTGGATTCTTTGCCTTCATAGCAGGCGCCATGAATGTTCACCAGTTTCAGTGAAGACTTCAAAACTGGACCTGTTTTTTCATAATGGGAAAAAAATGATGGGTTTAATTTGTTGATAATGACACATTAGCTGCACCAGACAATGACATGACCACGTTGCAATACCATTTTCTTGATTTCGATTTGGGACTATTTTTTCTTTTAATTAGTTTGTTTAGGAGTTGTCAATTGATAGGTCCCTTGCTAAAAGTTGGTTGCGACTTACAATCATCCTCTAACTAAAGAAGCTACAATATAATGATCCTCAAAACAAAAGAGATAAAATCTCATGTGTCAGATTCTTTTGTAATTTAAAAAGGAGAATTTGTGGTATCTTATGTGATTCGAGAAAAAGTTGATCGATCTGTATACTATTTGTGTAGACTAATAAAATATTAAGAGTGCATTTGAGGATGATTCAGATTAATTTTGCACGGTGAAGCTTTCTTCATGGTTAAGTTGGTATCTTGCAAGGTATTTAATGTAACTACATCATCAACTACTAATAAACAAACGAAACATCAATTATTATAGAATTAGGTTATTCCAAACAACTCCCTCAAGGTTAGCTATTTTGTGTGATATACCTACAGAAATCAGTTGTGTAACATTTTGAACCCCCACATTCCACTTTGTGGCAATTTACCAAAATTATATTAGTGAGTGAATTGACAAATACGATAAGGAGTTAAATGTGGGAGATGCATACGCGATTAATCTCTATCAAAAACCCTGATTTAGTACAACTAAAATAACAATAACGTACTTCATAAATAAATTATGAAAATACATGGAAAAAAGACAATAACTAATTCCAACCAAAGCAATAACGCAAAGAAAAAAAAAAAAGAAGAAAAAGAAGATTGTTAACATTGATCACTAATCAAAATGGTAGTGGGTAGACCCTATAACTCCAAAACATCAAGGCAGTATTTTACTATGTTCAATTGATCTTTCAGTGAGAGTTTCACAATACAATGAAACTTGAGGGGCTTAATTAATTTCAATTAACTTCTTACAAACATAAACATTATTGTTTTTTTCAAATTTCCATCCTTAGCTCCATTATTAAGAGGACCAATTGGATTGGGAAATACAGCTGTTAGGCACAAGATGATGGATAATCGGTTAGAAAGAAAGACAGGCTGCTTCCTAATGGGGTTCTTCTAGTCCATTACTTTAGTTCCCCGTGGCTTTGGATGAAAACGACTCATTTCTTATTCATTTTAGTTCCTTTTTTTTTTTTTTTTTTTTTGTTGAGGAAACGTCTCCATTTGTTCAATTGCAATCATTTGCTCTTCCATGCATACAATATTTACCTTCCAAAATTTTAATTTTTAATTATGTAAAAAAAAGCTGCAGAAAAAAAAAATAAACAAAGGGAAAGTCTTGACAAAGATAGATGAAATGTCTTTCAAAGAAAAGAGAAAGAAAAGTATTGTGCAACATGGGAGCCAACCACGCTTTGGAGACGCATGAACTACTGTCTTGTTGTTTTAGGATATATATATATATATGTACAACTTTTTTAACAATTCCTAATTTTTCTAATTGTGTCGTATAGTAATTAAAACGATTTAGAGAAACCAGAAATGAATAAATACAAACTATACATTACTCACATATTTCACCTCTAAAAAGTGTATGTAGTTGATGTTCACGCCTCTTTAACATTCTTAAATTGGTTCAACAATTATTCCACCGTACAAATTACACAGCTGAAAAATAGTTAAAATAATCCACTTAATTTGTTTGATAATTTCAATCCTGAACAATACCAATTTTTCTTTTTTTTATTTATCTTTTATTTTATTATATATATATATATATTTTGAATAAAATACTTTATTTTATATATCTAACAGTACTCATACCATATATATTCTTGTACAAATTGGGAGATCGCCTGTTCATTTGTTCAAATGTATTAACAAGACTTTAATGTATAGGATGTATACGTGAAACAATTCATTCCACCGATCGATATTATGTCGGTTCTGAAAATATAGAACTTTCTTTTCACTAGAAATTTAATAAGTGAACTTCTTTTCTCATTTGTTTTTTGGAAATGGAAGGTGCAGATATATATATATATATATATATATATTATTTCATTAAGAAAAAAAAGGAGATAACACTGTTCATGTCATGCAAGGAGGCCTAAATTGTGAAATGCCAAATTGCAAAGAAAAAGAAGAGAAGAAGTTGTGTAGCACCTTTGTAAGTGGAGGGTTTGCAGGTGTGGGATGAAAATACTGTGCTCACGTCGACTGAATGGAAGAAATTGGTTTCTCCGGCAGCTTGTTCCCCTTTCAAACCATGGCCCTTCTCCAAAGAAAACAAGATCAATACAAGGCTAAGATAAATGGACATGACAAACTTGAAGAAGGACATGGAAGAGGAAGAGCAAGCCATTTTGAGTTGTCTTCTTTTCTCCTTTAGGCTTGTTCTTAAAGAGAAAGATAATATATAGCATATTGTGTTACTACAAACACCTTTATATACAAACAGAGTTCTAAGTTTGCAAGCCATCCACTAGGCACTAAGTGTGTAAAAGTTTCAACCTTTTCATTATTTTAGGAAATTGATTGATGGTTACTTTCTTAATATGCAAAAATGTGTGGGGTTTGGACAAAGAAGAAATCAATTATGTTGTATGGGAAATGGTCCACTAGTTAACACTATAACACCAATTTGGTGGAATTTCACTTATACTTAAATTGAAAGGTGGGGATGGCCCAAAATGTCACCACTTTTGTCTTGGTGCAAATTGGTTTCCTTTGAAACTTTGAAACAGACCGTAGAGTTTCAATGATATGATTTGGTAAAAAATCACTTTGATTAATCCTAGCTATTGCTAAACACTCCATTAAGAAACCCATTGATTGGATTCATGCAATGAAAATTGTTTAGTTGTTATTGATTATCACTGAATGATTCCAATCTCATGGTTTCCTATTGGTAGAAGGCACAACCAATGAACCAACCATTAACTGTTCTTGAAATTAGATGGAACAGGAGGGTCCAATCAATGGAAAATGTCTTCATCCACCATTAATTGTAATTCTTACACACACACACACACATACACACACACACACATATATATATATATATATATAACACCTTTGATGTAATTGATGTTGGAATTGGAACCAATATTAATGATAATGATAATGAGATTGGCCTTCAAAAAATATTTCACATGTATAGAATTGGGTATGAAAAAATTGACTAACATGCATGGTGGTTTTTCTTCTCTTCCATTTTACTATTTTAGTCCTAAACTTCAAGCTATGACTTAATTGTTTGTCAATCTTGAATTGAAGAATTCGTGTAGTTCCCTCACACATGAGGATGTTCAATAACGCAAACGAAAGGTAAGTGTGCTCGTGATAGGGGAGTTTGAAGGTCAACCCAAAAAAATGATATCTGAATTACACTTTGTGTTTTTGAAGTAAAACTTATGTATGAAATAAACTTAAGGGTTTTGTTACATTTTTTGCATCACACTTCTCATCATAATAATTAGAATTTGAAAAGTGAAATTTTCTTATATCCCTTTAGGTTCAATTATTAGATATTAAAAATTAAAAAAGAAGTAATTAATATTTAATTGAAAGTGACGAATTACGTGTTTCAAAATAGTGTTCCAGAAAATGTAACACAAATATACAATGGCGAAGAGAAGAAAAATTAGCTGTTTGGCGCTGAATTGAATGTGGTTGAAATTTAGGACTGTTTATGGGGTTTTCATTGAATAGTGAGACTAATAGGACCGCATGTGAGGAAAAATGACAAAGCTGATCATCACAGCACAATAATGTGAAGGTAATAAAACAGAGGAATATAAGAAAAATTAGGCCATTTCATACTCACCTAACAAAACAAAAATAGTTAGATTTTAGCCATGGAATCTTCTTCGGAGAGGTCTGCTCCACAATTAAATTAATCTTATTTAGTCAACTTTTTAACTTGGAAGTAATTACATTAGAACGGGACTGATGATGTCAGCCCCCTGTGTGAAGGGGATATCTTGATTACAAATAAATAAATACTACTACTTAACATCCACTAATTTATAAGATAAGAAGAACTCATGAGCATCCAATAAATTAAATTAGTGCACAATATAAAATGGAAATATTTGGCTGTATTATCCAATGATATTGGGCCTCGTAAACTTCACATCAACAAATGGATACCTTATTGAAATGGTTGGCTGTGTTTTGATGTACTCTATGAACCTATAAATAAAAGCAGGACAAAAGTTTGTAACATTTTAGAAATGGAAGTTAGAACATATTTTTCCTTTTTTTTGCGTCTCTTCAGCACCTAATATCCAAATAATTACTCCGACTAATTCAGATTCGAACATGATAGGTCGCTCTCTCTCACATTTAGTTGCCTTTTCTTTCGTCTTTAATTGATCCTTACATTTTCTGAACCCTGAACTGTGTTAATTAAGTGAGCGTGCATCAATAACATTTACACATCGCCGAAACTGTTTTCGCAATAAGTTATAATACTTTTTTTCATCCCAATTTTTCAGTAGTAAATGAACGATCATCTTTACGTATGGACTTGTAAAATAATTGATAGAAAGAAAATGAAAGTAAATTAATCTTACATGGGGAAAGATTTCAATTAAGACTACTATGTGGGGAAAGTAGAAGTATGCGATGATTGATGAGATATTAACTAAGTAGTATTTTACCGTATTAGAATAACAGTCTTTAGAAATAAGAGTTCTCCTTTCACCATTGTTTCACAAAACACTCATCTTGAACGTTGTACTTCTTGTAATTATCAAAAAGTTATATACTATGTACAAAGTACAAACTGCAAATCCTTCTCGTCTTATTTTAATAGGACATCATTCGGTTTTGAAAAATTTTAAGAAATTGTCTAGTCTATTTTTGTTGATGTTATCGGGTTTTGTTTTGGCAGGAGATCCCACGAACACTCGTAAATGATGGATTTTGTGAATTACTTTTGGCGAAACGATCATCATCTTCCAGCAACATAACTACAGATTCTATTGATTTTAAAAGAAACTTATATTTGGATTCCGGTCTGAGTCTGATCCTAGAACTTTAATTAGCACAAAATCTTTGGGCAGTTGAAATCGTTGTCATCAGCAATATATATCAACTGAGATAACATTTCTTTTTTATGATTCCAATGTAGTACTTCCTGTGTCCCAAAATTATTGTCTATTTTGAGAGTTCACTTTTAGTACAATTTAAACTAGAAATAAAGTCTCAAATTGGACAATAATTATGGGACAGAGGGAGTATCAAATTAGGTATTTGATAATCATTTTGTATATTATATTCTTTCTTTTCACACAGAAATAGTCCAAATTATGAAACATAAATACAGTAAAATATATAATTTACAATTAAGAATATTTTTATGGGTCAAAGGGAGGTAAATAACTATACATAAAAAAATGGCAGTTTTGTATTATGTAAGAACAAAAATCGTATCGGAAAATGTGATTTCACTCGAAAAAATTTAAGGAAATTTATAAAACTTTTGAGTTGGTGGCTTAGGTAATGTAGAATGAATAATTGTAACTTGAGGCAAAATTTAAATCAACCTTGTTTGGAGATGTCATAAAGAAAACAGACGCATATACATATAATATGGAAAAAAGTAAAAAATAAGTATTTCAAAATAAAGAAAATACTTTTGAGGGAGTTCTTATTGTGTTAGAGAAACTAATAAAAGTCAAAATTATATTAAAAAATGTAAGAAGAAAATTTATTTAGAGTATAAATAAGTATTAAGACTATCATTTATGATTTTTTTAGAAAAGGAAACAGAAGGAGAAAAAAATTTAAAAGAGATTTGCGTTGAATATAAATACTTATGCAAACATAAATGCAAATTATTTTTACTGCAGTCATTTCTTCCGCGTATTTTAATAATCCCTCCGTCTCAGAAAAATAGTCCACATTGAGTTTTCAAATTTGTATTAAAACTAGTACAAATCTCAAAAACTCAACATCGATGATTTTTTTTGAGACGGAGGTAGTAATTCAATTATTGAACCGTAAGTGTACAAGTAAACTACAACAACTTCAAAAAAAAAACAAAATAAATAAATAAACTAACTACAACAACTCAAGAAAATATACTTTTAAAACCGGACAAAGGAAATAATTTATTTTAATTTTCTTTAGGTCCTACAGCACAAGAAGGTTCTTCATCAAGAAAAATAAGTCAAACGCGGAGAAAAAAAGGTAAATAGTCATTATATTTTTCCCCTACCATAGTGGGAGACTTGGCCGGTAATTTGGTCCAAAAGCTAAAAGTTGACGAGAAAAAAATAAAGGCATAATGGAGAGGAACATAATGCGATGTATTTGTAAAAATAAAATATTGAAAAGGGCCTTGTTTCTAAGTATAACTATTACTGCTTTTTAAGTCTTAAAATAATTATTTAAGTTTTGTTTCCCCTTTAAACTAATCATATCGATGTCGCGCGCAGCGCAACTAATTCTTTTTGGAACCATTTTACTTCATTTTAGTTTAAGGAATCTGTTAAGGGGAAAAAAAAATGAAAAGAAGAGAAAGTTATGATGCTTCTGAAAATCTTGTAATTAACTAGGCTCAAACTAATTGTTAGCCTATTTTCCCTATATTGGAGCTGACGATACCTGGATTTGTACCGCCGGTAAGGGGTGGAACTCCGGCTAGGGTTTCCTGCAAAACAGAGCCTCGAGCGTCTTCTGAGGGTAGATACTCCGAAGCTCAAGTTAGAAAATAGGGTTGTATGTATGTTGATATGATAGTTAAGATGGCGTACCTTTTGTGTGGAATAAAGGTCCCTATTTATAGGCTTGGGTGAAATCCGATTCTTACTAGGGTTATCAACAATAAACCGCCATATCGACGATCTTGACCCTAAGGCCGAGTTATGGGCCGGCCCGTTGATGGTGATGGACCTGGACTCGTCAAGTGCCCCTGTCAAGTGTTAATTATGCAAAATAAATAAGACTTGACATTTAAATAAAACTGACCTGGCCCGGCCCATATGAAACAAATAAGCTTCAGCCCAGTCCAAGGGTAGCTGTCAGCGGGTAAGGATCCGATCCGGGAAGGCGACCCGTTTCATTTGAATCCCACCCAAGCGGAAATTAAGCACCACTAACGCGCACGTTTCCCAAACGGCGGCTGAGCCATTATGAGTGTGCCTTGGATTTCGGCCACAGTGTCGGATCGTGGGAAAAAGAGCATCTCCTATTTATTTAACTGGGGGAAAGGCTAAGGACTTTGGCCATATACTTCTCTCGTCAAACCCAGAAAACTCCACACTCTTATTCCAGTGCATCAGATTTCCTTGTCACCACATATCGCCGTCAAACAGAGTTTGAAAATCCTTCCGACAGACTTCAACTAGGGAGCGCTATCTCACACGTAAGTCTTCTAACTTTCGGATATTCTCATCGTTGTTCATTGGTGTATATATTTTACTTCCTCTGAACCTGGTTAGACTTGCATATACTAGGATAGGTATGGCATCACAAACAGTTTCTGATTTTGCGTCGACCATAGACTCTGTTGAAAAGGCCGATTTTATTGCCGATAAATATAGCTTCCCCATAGATCTAGATTACCGAGCTCCCCTAGGCACTTAGAGGGCTAACAACCCACCAGAGGGGAAAATCACTGTGTATGAGAGGTCGATGTTTCTCGGACTACGGTTCCCCCTTCACCCTCTATTTGGTAGGCTAGTGCAGTATTATAAGATCCCGCTTGCTCGATTTACTCCAAACCTAGTCACTGCCATCCTTGGTTTTATGAAGCTGTGTCAAATAAAGAGAATAAAGCCTCGATTGTTGGTGTGGAGATACTTTTTTAAGGTCTGTGTTCCCTCGACCAAGTATAAGGACTGGTATAACGTGAAGACCAACGTTTCCTCCAAGGCAAAACGTATAATAGAACTCTTCGACGGTGCCCCATCGTGGAAACCGAATAACCTTTTTGTTTCGGCTCCCGACGATGTTTGTATGGCTTGGGATTATCGGGAAGCTCACGATATGGGTGGTGTGGCAGACACCTGGTCCAAACATGATAAGGCCAGAGTTGAGAAGTACAGGGTGGATATCGATTCCCTAGAATCTGTCGAGGACATCCTAAGCTACACAGCAGTGCAACATTACGTCCCCCCCGTCCCCGTCGAGGAGAGAAAAGGTACTGACTTGCTATGTGCTTTGTTTTTGTTTTTAGGTCATGTCCTCCAGCAAAGATACCATTGGGTTGTTTGGTGACGCCAAGATTTTTGAAATTAAAAATTCAGATGACGAAGGCTCCTCCAACAAGGTCACCAAAAAGAGGAAGCTGAGAAGATTGGTGAAAGCGTCCGACGCAAGTGCCAAGGCTAAAAAGAAGAAGACTCCCATCCCCGAGGAGGTAGAGAAGCAGGTCGAGGATCCAGTCCCGATCGAGGTGGACAAAGAAAATGATCCACCCAAGGCCACCTCTCCAATCGTTGAAGAGGTGGAGGCTCCCGTACCTGAGGACAAGGTGCCCGAGGTGGTTCCGGTGACGGAGCGGCATCCGGAGTGGTTCAAGCCTATTAAAGTTACTCTCGATAAGAAGAGCACCGAGGACACCGACGGTTCCTCGACATTCACAGCTTCCGCTGCCATATACCATTTTGGGGACAATAGGATTGAGTGCCCCATCATCGAGAAAGTCGCCGAGGCTCTGACGGAGGAAGAGTCGCTGAAAATGGTAGTATTTTCTTCTCGATTCGTTTTTTTTCTCGGGGATACCATGTTGCCTTTTGTTAACGTTTCGTGTTGCAGCTGACTACGGTGATGGCTAGCATTCTTATGCGTGAGAAGACCTTGAAACGAGATATTCATAGCCTGCAAGCTGAGAGAGGGGGTCCTGGAACAAGAAGGTAATTCGGTTTCCACGATGGGGCACCGTCGAAGAGTTCTATTATACGTTTTGCCTTGGAGGAAACGTTGGTCTTCACGTTATACCAGTCCTTATACTTGGTCGAGGGAACACAGACCTTAAAAAAGTATCTCCACACCAACAATCGAGGCTTTATTCTCTTTATTTGACACAGCTTCATAAAACCAAGGACGGCAGTGACTAGGTTTGGAGTAAATCGAGCAAGCGGGATCTTATAATACTGCACTAGCCTACCAAATAGAGGGTGAAGGGGGAACCGTAGTCCGAGAAACATCGACCTCTCATACACAGTGATTTTCCCCTCTGGTGGGTTGTTAGCCCTCTCAGTGCCTAGGGGAGCTCGGTAATCTAGATCTATGGGGAAGCTATATTTATCGGCAATAAAATCGGCCTTTTCAACAGAGTCTATGGTCGACGCAAAATCGGAAACTGTTTGTGATGCCATACCTATCCTAGTATATGCAAGTCTAACCAGGTTCAGAGGAAGTAAAATATATACACCAATGAACAACGATGAGAATATCCGAAAGGCTTTCATTTTGTCCTTGTCTTAACTATCATATCAATATACATACAACCCTATTTTCTAACTTGAGCTTCGGAGTGTCTACCCTCGGGAGACGCCCGAGGCTCTGTTTTGCAGGAAACCCTAGCCGGAGTTCCACCCCATACCGGCGGTACAAAAGTATTGACAGCTTCGAGGATCTCACGGTGAAACTAGCCACCAGGTTTTTCCTCAGCAAGCAGGTCACGAAAATGTCCATTGACTTATCCTCCATAAGACAAGGACAAAATGGAAGCCTTTCGGATATTCTCATCGTTGTTCATTGGTGTATATATTTTACTTCCTCTGAACCTGGTTAGACTTGCATATACTAGGATAGGTATGGCATCACAAACAGTTTCCGATTTTGCGTCGACCATAGACTTTGTTGAAAAGGCCGATTTTATTGCCGATAAATATAGCTTCCCCATAGATCTAGATTACCGAGCTCCCCTAGGCACTGAGAGGGCTAACAACCCACCAGAGGGGAAAATCACTGTGTATGAGAGGTCGATGTTTCTCGGACTACGGTTCCCCCTTCACCCTCTATTTGGTAGGCTAGTGTAATATTATAAGATCCCGCTTCAATTTCTCGCTTGAGCTCTCGGCAATCCTCCGTGTCATGCCCGTGGTCTTTGTGATACTCGCGTTACTGGTTTGTGGACCTATTCGGGTTGTGAGTTAGTGGCTTCGGAGTTGGAAACTCGTCCTTTTGGATTTGGAGTATTTCCCGTCGAGGCTTTATCAACGGAGTCAGTAACCTGTCGAGCCTGGGCAGCGAGAGTTTATTCTCAGCATGAGGTTTATATCTGTCCTTCCCTCCTCGCTCTCCTGCGATCAAAAAGGATTCCTGGGAATTTTTCAATGTTTGTTCTCGTTGGATATAGCTTTCTACCGTGGCCCACATCTCTTGGGTGTTCTGTGGAGGTTTAGTGGTTAATTTTACTCGCAGGGGGGCGGACTTCCCCCAGGGGTTGAGTCCTTGGATGAAGCTATTCCTTACGTCTCTGTCATCGAGATTGTCAATTTGGAGGGATTCACGGGTGAAGCGGCGATGGAAATCCGAAAGGCTTTTATTTTATCCTTGTCTTATGGAGGATAAGTCAATGGACATTTTCATGACCTGCTTGCTGAGGAAAAACCTGGTGGCTAGTTTCACCGTGAGATCCTCGAAGCTGTCAATACTTCCCTCTGGTAACTATCCGAACCACCGTTGCGCCTGCCCGTCCAAGAATGATGGTAAAGCCTTTGCCATGAAATCTAGGGATGCATTACGAATTCTCATGACTTGCACGTATTTATTGAGAAATCGTTGAGGATCAGAGTCCCCTGTGTAACAGGTGAAGTCTTTGGGAAAGTCATAATCTTTGGGTTTCAGACAGTCTCGAATCCTGGGGATGAAAGGACTCCTATCAACGATCATTCCTATCATCCTTCGCATCGAATCTCGAATCGAGGGATCTTGATTACTCCGGTTATCTTGACCCCGGGGAGGAGGGTCTTCTCCTCGACGGTGGCCATGTTGTGATTTCTCTCGCGTCCGCCTTGGTTCCAATCGAGGGTGGGCATTTCTTCTCGAGGGTTCCCACTCTCTCTTGGACAATTCCTCGACGCTGGGTGATTGTCGGCGATCTTGTCTATGAGGTTGTTTCTTCTGTTCGTGCTCTTGTGCAAACTGAATAATCGCCTGATAAACCACTGGGTTTGTCTTTTCGAGTGCTTCCCAGAAAGTATTCCCGGGGGTTTCGGAACTTTCATCGGAGGAAACTTCTCGAGGGGGAGTTTCTTTGCGAGTTCTTTCCTCCCCTCCATTTGTTGCTGGACGCTTGCCCCTTCTGGTTTCGAGGAGGCTCAGAGTTCTCTTTGCTTCTTTTTCCTCGATTAATTCCTCTATCTCTCGTTTCGTTGGGTCGGGAAGACCTAACAAGCAACAGCGTCTGTACTCTTTGAGCATATATTTCTTTTTCCTTTGGTTGAGGGAATTTTCATCCTTCAACTTTTTTAGTTCCGTTTCGATCTCGGCCAACCGCTGGTTTTGGTATGGATCGGGGTTTTCGCGGTGACGATTCTGATCGGTCGGTTTGACAGGAGTGGTTTCTTTTTTGTTCCGGCGATCATTCCTTTTTCGTTTCTGCCTCCATTGGAAGTGTGCCAAAGTTTCGCCGTCCTCGGGGCTCGCCTGTCTGCTGGTTGACGCGGCACTGGATCGGGGACTGTCGGCCCCCGCCATCTTTTTGGTCACTGGAAGCGGCTTGAAAAGGTTTTGAAAAAAGTTTGAAGAAGCTCGGTGACACAAACCCTAGTTTTCGGGTCCCACTGGGCGTCCCACTTGACGATACCTGGATTTGTACCACCGGTATGGGGTGGAACTCCGACTAGGATTTCCTGCAAAACAGAGCCTCGGGCGTCTCCCAAGGGTAGACACTCCGAAGCTCAAGTTAGAAAATAGGGTTGTATGTATGTTGATATGATAGTTAAGATGGCGTACCTTTTGTGTGGAATAAAGGTCCCTATTTATAGGCTTGGGGAAAATCCGATTCCTACTAGGGTTATCAACAATAGACCGCCATATCGACGATCTTGACCCTAAGGCCGAGTTATGGGCCGGCCCGTTGATGGTGATGGACCTGGACTCGTCAGGAGCTAGGATTCAGGTAGTTGATTCTCGCTTGGTTTAAGAATCTGGACTACAAACAGAATGATGGATCTATGCTAATGTTTACAAACAATGGGATCTTTCTATATTTTCTAGAAAAACGAATGTGTAAAATTTCAAATTTTCAATTTAGTCGGTGAAGATTAAAACATGCATTGCATATGAATTTGGAAAAACACAAATAATCATCTCTAGTAAGCGCTCTCTTGAGGGAATTGGAACACTCAACTTTAAATACACACGAAGAAACTAACATTCAGAACCCAACTATATGAGCATACATCAACCTAAGGTAAAATTATTATTCTTTTGACAATCCACTAAACCAATAGATGCAAGTATGTTTCTATATATAAACAAAAACATATATAAGTGAAACGGTCCAAATATTTGTTGAGTTGACCCAATGACTTTGATGGTCTTAGGCCCATATGGAAGTATTGGATAAAGCCCAATATTGGAAAAATTCACGTTCCAAAACTTTCGAGAGATTTATAAAGTATTGGAGAAATTGAGTAGAATCATGGAGTAATATCAGAATATTGTGGAGGTTTCTAAAAAATTTTAAAATTGTCGAAAATTTTTTTAGGTTTTTTATTTTTAATTCCTTATGTAGAATTATCTAGAACTCTAGAGGTTTGGGTGGTAAATATAAATACACTAACTCACCGACCCCACCACTCCCCCTCCTAATTGTAAGGCATGAAGAATTTCAAGTATTAATCTAACTCTTAATTTCTGCAAAGTTTTCTTTGGATCCTCTTACTTTCTTTCTTTTTTTCTTTAAAGAATTCAACTTTCCTACTTAGTTCTTTTCAAGAGTTTTGAGGGTTTTTAAGCGTTAGACTAAGCTAACATTCACCATTGGTGGTCTAGAATGCTAATTCTACACGGTATTAACAAAGAAAATAGTTAACCTGTGACAAAAGTATGTTTAAAAAAAAAAAACAAAAGAAAAAAATCAGATGAAAAATCACACTGTTCATCTTTTCAAACATTTCATTAAATAAGAAAGCCCATAATCTTTTTTGTTTTGGTTTTATGAAACTATTAAGTAAAGCCTAGTCCAAAATTCTTTATTTTATTTTGTACAAACCTCGGTCTTAGCCCATGACTCACGAAACAGCCCATACTTTTTTTTTCCATTTTATAATTCTTAAAAAAAAAAATTGCAATACTTTTTATAATTAAAATAATCGTAAAACCCCACTCGCAAATTAGAAATTAACGTGTGAAGTACTTAACTTTCTCCAAAAGCAAAAACTCAAACCCCAATTCCGCCCATGTTTCGATTTTTGATCAAAACCCTAAGGGTTCGTTTGATAATCACTTAAGTCTAAAATTTAAACATTTATCACTTAACATTGAAGTTTGAATCTGAAGACTAGATTCACATTGTTTGATAAAAACGGTTGAATTTGATGTTTGAAGGTTGAAATCTGAAGTCTAAAGCCTAATGTCTGGATACTACATTTGAATGTTTAGATCTAAATGTATATTTACTTTCTAATATTATTAATATCAAAATTATAAACAATTTTTTAATAAAAACTATTTTTTGTATAAATAAAAGTAGTAATTTTGAACTAATTTTTTGAGTATATATGATGAAACTAGGTAGATGATTAAGATAATCAATAAAAAAAAAACAGTCTATACCGATGTATATGGATATCTTATTACGAAATTCATATATAAAAATAGAAACTAGTTGAGTTTATAATTTTGATGTTGTTTTATACTCATAGTTGAAGTATTTGAGCGCTTTTATTTGATTTACCTTA